GTTAGTCAAGAGTAACTAAGATTTTGAAGTTCTGAGGGTTCTTCAATTTGACCTGGTGGTCTGAGTTGTAGTTGGGCAGGGTGCTCCGATCACTTGTCGAAGTATGATAACTGTGGTTCCAAAATACCCAGTGCACCTATTTTTTTTCTAACTGTGCGCACGACTTCATTTTCGTACAAGTTTTGAAAAACAAGCCTTGGGATGTGAAAGCGTGGCAGTCCCCGATGATCTTAGAGCTTGTCTCTCAATATCAACGATTACACAAGTCTATAAGTGCGTCCTTCACCTAAATTATCAAGAAACAAGAAAGAAATAGTGAGATTTAGGTTTATGCCCAATCTACTGCTCAGGGGAATTTTCATAAAAAGTACTTGAAGTTTAAAAGCGCGATTGCATCACAACAATCTGGGAGTTTTCGCAAAACCGCGTCATCATATAGGCAAGGTAATAAATCAAACCCCGCACTTCCTGAATATTAAACATCAAGTTTTGTAGAAAGTGTCTACTTTATGGTGATTTTGCAACTGTCCGCAGCTATCACGCGAAGTTTCTAAGAGCGTTCTTCACCTCATAAGAAAACTCACGAGATTCTATGATTTCTGCATGGTATGTGAAAAAGCTCGTAAACTCTGCAAACCAGCTTTTCGTTAAAGCAGATTGACTCTCAATGCTGTCAAAAGCAAAAACTTCACGTGATTGTTTATCTTCGATTACGGCGAGAGGTCGAAGTGCTGCAAATGTTTCACACTTCGAGATGTAGCTGTACAAAAAATTTGAGAGTCAAAGAAGCAATGATGGTTGAATCAAGCAAATGGATCTATAAAAGTGTTTAGTTTGAAGTAGTGGCTCGACAATCTTCCACAAAATTTTTTGCTTCCTTGGGGCGAATGCTAATCAAAATTGAACTTACATAGTACGGAGATGGCGTAAACCAGCTTTTCCCAAGACCCATCATGCTCAGAGTTTACAAACCGAAGACGAGCTCGATTGCGTCAAGACTTGAAAGCGAGGGATGGGAGCAAGTGACTTGGGAAATTTGAGGGGAGAAGGGAAGGAAACATCATACGCATTGTATTATCTTCTGGTTCCACAAAATTAATTTGCTATCACCTGTTTATCAAGACTTCAAATACTGGGTTTTCCCAAAAGATCTTGCGCCGCATCTTCAAAAAAACATAACTTCTTCGTATCTCAATGGATTCCTTTAAAGAGAATCCAGTATGAAAGCACGAATCGAGCTCTTCCATTTGATAGAAGGAAACAACCTCTACAAAGTGGCTACCAAGAATCTACCTACACATTAGGTCTACGTAAAGTTTGATGCCAAAATATGTGAGCATTTGACCAGCTCAAAAATTGGATCTTCGCTCGGAGAAGTCCTACAAGTATCCCAGTTGGTCATCACATAGTAGACACATACTACGGTCATTCATGCACTTGCTGTCATATTTTGTCGCTTAGAATTTAAGAAAAAACGAAAATAGAAAATTTGCAAACTCTGCCTCTAACAGCCTGCTAGCTGCATTGATATCCCAAAAAGTCACTTTCAGCTTTAAGAATCCATAGCCTACGTCTATTGTTTTTGCATCAACCTAATACTTTTGTGACAGCCTAATATTTACAATTAACAAGTTTTTACATAGTCTTGTAACTCAAATAAACCACTACCTGAATTTTCGCAACATATTATTTAAAAGAGCACGAAGCGGCAGCCCGGTGGCGGAGGACATGTTTGCAAGACTGATATTTGAAATCTTATGGATATCATGGCAAATTCCCTGTATTCGGACAGTGAGGTTCGTGCATTGAGGTGTAATACGAGAAGCTTGTGATCGTGAAGCTTACTTGTGTCGCTGCTAAGCACATTTCGGAAAAGAACTTCTTTCGAGCACACAAAAATCGTGATGTTTGACAATTCTATGGATTTAGATCCAAATTTTCGAATTTTCTAAATTCGGGATTTTTTTGGACTGTGAAGTTAAGAATGCTCATGGCACAACGAAAGAAGAGCTTTATTAAAGACTTTTTGTAGTAGGGACGGAGCGCTCTCGACAACGTGCGGCCCGCGCGCATTCACCGTTCGGCATACGCGCACTGCAAAGCGCCGCACGCATCGAATGTCAGAGTATCTATCGAAGTGAACCGCTGCAGGTTATCGACAAGTATTCTTATTTCGTTGCTGCTCCAGTTCTTCACAACAGAAAGGGGAATGGTCTGAATGTCATTTGGACTTTGCAGCCGAAAGATGTTACCAAGAAAATGCATGAGACTTTTCTTAAGTAAATGCATGAGACTTTTCTTAAGTAAGTTATTACTAAAGAAATTTTCCTTCAACTAAAGCGTATTTTACACAGCTTGCCAAGCAGCAAAATCGTCTGCACTTTCAGAGACCCTGCTATACAATTCGCTTCCTCGACCTGTTACGACGGGGGCTAGGGCAATTCGTCTCAAGTATAGCCTTGCACACAACTTCTTCTTATCGCATAAACTGTTGCGTGCTTTTTGAGCACAGGAGCAACAGGCATCCGCCTTACTAACGCCCCCTTTTCTTTTACATTTTCACGTCACTTTCATTTGTGCATTTTTTTAAATTCATTTCCTTTACAAGTCTTGATAATGCCAACACTGCTGAATTGTTCAGCCCTGTTGTAATCTAGCATTCCTTTTTTGTTTCAATTTCAATGACTTGATAACTTGATTCTTGTACGTCTATGCTTTTTACATTTTGCGTTAGCTTCTTACTAGCAAAACTTTAAGACGGCAATTGTTTGCCTAAGTCATTTTCTTTTGCAAACAAACAAACGGAAATTCTCGCTAAGGTTTATGCGGAACTGAACAATCAGCAATTACGAAATCACATTAGTCATAAAATAAACCCAAACTAGATATCACGAATTTATCTCAACGGTAACCGTCCCTATGTGCAAAGAAGTTTGCGAGTCTATCCCGCTGCACATGGGGTGTATCGGCATATGGAGCTCTGACTCCAGGAGAGGATTCTTCTTCTACATTCGGGCTGTCCGGGGAGGGGGTATCTTCTTGTTAGTTCTTCACGGGTAAGGCCTCGTGCCAGCAGGTTATGCGCACCTAAATACCATTTATCTTTCACATTATCATCAAAGTTGAAAGACTTACACATGCTGTTGATATTAGCAGTTTCATATGCTCAGGTGTGCCGTGAAGGGAGGCTTGAAAGACTCTAAAACGAGATGTTATAATACCGAATACGTTTTCCACAACTCGTCGAGCGCTGAAATTGAGGCCAAATAATGATTCAACGAGATGAATCGTGCACAACTTGCGAACTAAAGCACTCATTTAAATGTGCTTTTACCTGACTCCTAAGTGCTTCAGACTGATGGTATGGCCGAATCGTATAACTGTTTTGTCCGAACCCCCCGCGAGTATGTGATACTCGACGATACCTTCATTGCCTAGTGGGGCGGGTGGTGGAAAGAATTTTTTTGAACGTTCAAGGAACGTTCTTAATGGAGATGTTCTGTACAACCCTGAATATAGCAAAATATCTTGATAACTGTTTTGCATGTTCGCCTGAATCAGAATAATTCTTCCCCTTGCCACCGCAATCTATCAAGAGGATCCGGTAATTGCTGTCAACAACTATTAATAATACTATTGAAAATGTGCCTTTGAAAATAAAATATGTGCTGCCGGTATTGTTAGGGGCCTTCAATATTCTCAACTTTTTGAAAGTTCAATAGAATACAATTCGAGGTCATACCACGCATCTAAAATGTTTTCCATCTATAGAACGACTCCTCGTGGGTACCCCCACATAGTATTAAATCCAACAGCGCTACGCTTCAAATCTTCCCGCGTCGGTTTAAGGAATGCCTCTTTCGGAAATTTTAAAATTCTGAAGATGCATGAATGTATTGGGTAGGTGACAAAAGAAGTACCTGACATAATTGCATGGCATACTTCGTATATGATTTTTGCCACTGTCGTCCTTCCTAGTTGAAACTCATGGGCGCATGCGTGTAATGACCTTCCATGCCCAAGGTATCTCAAAATCGTTATTGTTTGCGTATAATGAAAGACAAAACAGTTCCAACCGTAGGCATATTGCTAGCCTATGCTTCGCATTTATCGGGTATCGATGTTTTTTAGCATGATTTAGTCTTCTATAGAGACAACTGTCTAAAATATCAAACTCGGTATGTGTCAGCCATTGTATTCATGGAACATGGATTCATCTTGACCATGGTAGTAGGCGTCAAAGACTGAAAATCTGTTACTAATTTGACTAAGGTGGCTGATATTCATATATATACTTCTCGAGATGTCCGAAGCGAAACCGATTTGATGAAATCCATTACATTCTTAAGCACATGTAGACACAGGCTTCCGCTGAAAAATACAATCTCAGAATATAATGAAAACGAGATTTTTTGTGACCGCATATTAGCAATCAGAGGACCCGAAAGCGTGCCTCTTAGGATTACTACTAAAAGTGAGGTGATTACTTCCATAAACACTTCATATAGCGTACCGGCATAATGGACATATTTTTCCTTTCGTTAGTTTTTTCACTATCAACAGAGAAATGACTGCTTCATCTACCGGGATTTCCTTGACATTGATAAAATAAAAAGATTTTTATTTTTATTTTTCTTGAAAAAAGCTTCAATGTAAATTACTTCTCACCAGCGATAATATCAGCTGTATAATCTGTAGAATTGTTTCTCGCAACGGGGCCATCCTAAAATTTCGTCGATACTAAATCTGCTCTAGGATGAAAAATATCTTTTCTATTAGAAGAGGTTTCATTTAGTATACGACATAACAGGAAATCCGTGTCAAAGTTACCAAAATTTTGATTCACAAAATTTATGCTGATAATGATAGCATCAAACGTCGCGTTGTAAAAGAAACAGAACAAACATATAGATAACAGGACAAACATCTGTAAATACTATGTATCCATGATATCTCGTAGAAGGCGCGCGTTTGCAGCGAAAACGACTGAGAAAAGGTAATTATTTCCTTGCCATTCTGATCTCTTGTATGGCCTGACAAATTTGATTCTGAAGTTCGATGACTCTCAAGGCAAAGTCATCTGCTTTGATAGCGTTTAGCGAGTTAAGTTCACGAAGTGTACTCGACAGCAATTGACCCAACTTAGTATTAGTAACGTCTCAATATTAGCATACAAGCGAAACGAACCGAATGTTTCAAATCTGTCTGGCGGCTCCAGATTTTTGAGGACTGACCCAAGTTTATCAAGAGCTATTAGGTTGATGCATAATTCCTGCACCAAAATAGGTACAGACCGCAATAACTGGAGTAATCCTATATCCCAAGTAGGATTCGATACATCATTTGATAGCGCAAACCTAGCTCTACAAGACAATGCTCAAATATCTATATCAGCTTTGATCCACGCGAAGTTTTGAGCCAAAAACTGAAAAAAACCATGCGTCCGAAAACCTTAAGACAGATCTTAAAAAAATTGTAACTTCGTTCAAAAAGCTCATACAAATTTTCTTTCTTGCTCACGCGTAGACGTTCCACGTAAGACATTTATCTATGCGGTTGCTGTATTTTATTCTCAACTAGGCGATGAAAAAACGAAGTTTTTTGAAGTTTTTCATGTTTTTGCCAAATTAGTGCTGAGATGTTCTAGTATTAACAGTTGTATAGTACATGCCGTTAGCAGTGAAGCTTTACATTTTCAGCCTTCTAGAACTGCTAGTTCACGAGAAATAACGAATCTAGCTCTCCTTATCCAAATTTTTCTTGCCTAGTTGCTAAAAATTCGATATTTCTCGTAAACCAGCTGCTCTAAAGAGCTGAAAATTCACATTCACGCTTCTAAGGTTCTATACTATACAACTGTCAGTGCTAGAACATCTCAGCATTGTTTTGGAAAAAACATGAAAAACCTCGTTTTCTCATCGTCTAGTTGAGAAAAAAATACAGCAACCGCATAGATAAATGTCTTACGTGGAACGTCTACGCGTGAGCAAGAAAGAAAATTTGTATGAGCTTTTTGAACGAAGTTACAATTTTTTTAAGATCTGTCTTAAGGTTTTCGGACGCATGGTTTTTTTCAGTTTTTGGCTCAAAACTTCGCGTGGATCAAAGCTGGTGTAGATATTTGAGCACTGTCTTGTAGAGCTAGGTTTGCGCTATCTAAGGATGTATCGAATCCCACTTGGGGTATAGGATTATCCCAAGTTATTGCGGTCTGTACCTATTTTGGTGCAGGAATTATGCATCAACCTAATAAAATAAGTCTAGCGGCTCCAGATTTTTGAGGACTGACCCAAGTTTATCAAGAGCTAAAATAATCCATAAAAAGTATCACTTCTTTTGGAGACAACTCACAATCTTTTCCTTTATTCTGTTTTCTTCCTGACTTTTTTGCAGATGTGATTTCTGTAAGTGGTCTAATGCTAGTGTTTGCAGTAGAGGACTGGCTTGACTAAATGGACTCGTAATCGTGTTTATGGCATTAGCATTGTTTATCGTGGTTCCAACCGTTTCAGTAACTTCCACAACCTGCGTCTCTTCAGTAACGTCGATGATTTCATTGTCTTCAAAATCGACATTACAAAAACGTTTGCTGAGATAAAAGAAGATTTTTCAAACTGTTTGCAGAATTTTTCATCTTGCAAACCAACCCTTGATCGGCTCCGGCGTCGATAAAGCTCATTTGCTTATAAAAAGGCAACTCGCCATTTTTTCGAGAATACCAGATTCTGCGCCGCTCTTGCGGCGCAGAACGTCAGAGTACTCATGGCGGACCCAGTTGACCAATGAGAGCGGGGCGATTGGGCGGTCCCTTCTTGTAGGTCGCAGTGACATCACTGGCAGGCAAGTGGGACCCTTCTCCGGCCCTGCTGCAAAGGTACGCCATTTCCGCTCCGGAGGTACGCCAGATTTGGCAGAGTCGCGCCGGAGAAATTTGCCCGCCGCGAGTCCGCCAGATTTGGACGAGCCGCAAAATCAAAGAAACAACGACTAAAATATGCTGAGGAAAATCGGAGGGGTCCGGAGCACAAATGGGAGGTCTCCGGAGCACAAATGGGAGGGCCCCAGAGCACAAATGGGAGGGCTCCGGAGCAGGCTGCGTATCGATTTGGCGCGTAGCCAAGCAAACGTCTAACTCCACGGTGATGAGTCCTCTGTTTACGCTCTTTCTCCATATTTTAGTCGTTGTTTCTTTGATTTTGTTGTTATTCCGCGTTTCTTTACCGTTTTTTCCTTTTCCGCGTTGCTCTTCATCGCGTTGGCATTTATGTTGTTGTAAGTTCCTCGTTTTCAGGTTCATGTTTCAAATTTTCGTGCGGATGCACTTGGTCACTTCTAGTGCTTGGCTCTTTTTGACTTGCTGAGACATCATTGACTATTGATGAAGTGGTTTTTGTGATTAATTCTGGATTTTCGAAACAAAAAGTATATAATCCGAGTGAGTCTACTTTTTTGTTTCGCACTTGTTCATGCTTGAGCTCCACGGCGGATTGCCTGTTCAAGACACGTACTTACAGTGAATTTCGACCCGCTTTAGGCGGAAATTGGATTGGCGGGCGTCCGCCTCGCAACAGCTCGCGCCATTTCGCAGCTACAGTATAACCTATCGTGCTGATAACCGAGGTCTGCGGCTCTTCATTCTTCCCAGTCTTTGCTTGGCAAAATGCCACCGCTGTGCGCTCGCGAAGCCTCTAGCGGTGCGCAAGCGCGCTCCTCGTGAAATGTTCCGCCTAATCCGGGATGAAATCTACTGTAAATCTACACATGGCTGCGCAAAGCGCGCCCCATGCCCCAGTGCGAATTTCTCCGGCGCGCAGGATTTTCGCTGTTGGGGCACGCTAGATATTGTGGACTTCTATTCTACGCGTAAATAGGTTATAGGAGTGCTGTCACTTGTCTTCCCTGGAGGTCTTCCACATATTAACACCTCAAATCTAACGTAAGGTGATATTCCGTATATGGTCAGCGCTTTTTCATGGTAATTGAAGGCTCACACTTGCGAAGTAGGGGTCTCTTCTAAGATTTCTCTTCGTTTACGTATTTGAAAAAGGTCCACCTTCTGCATTTACCACGGTTTCTTCATTAAGAATCTGGAGAGAGTATTCATGAAAGTTCTCTGACATAGGCGGCTAAAGCTGTATTGTAGGTATTGTTGATTTCTGTCCTTACGACCGAGTCTCTGCCCATAAACGTGCCGTATAGTGCCAGTCAGTACGATATGTACTTTCTCATAACTCTTATCCAGCGTTTGATGCAAGTCCAATTGAAGACTAGTGGATAGGAGTTCTGAGTTGGCTTCTAACGAAACCAGCTCAGAATTTCTTTGTTGATTGATTTGTTGAAAGCTATCTTAGAACTTCTATCCAGTTCTTTTTGTTAGAAACCAAACAAGTATTGATGCCTCAGTCCATCCTGATAAAATTTTTCATTTGACTAATGTTTGAAAAAAGCATTGTAGAAAAGCTCTTAATTTTCACTGAAACCTAGGGATCAAGTCTGTTTCGTAACAGAATTTCTCGATGCTTGCCTGTTTTTCATGAATGCATTGCTGTTTCACATCTATGTGCACCCTCCAAAGAGCAGGAACGGATGGGCTTGAAGCCATCGGACACAGTCATATGATGATTGGTGACTGGAGCGAAAAAGCACTTGTTAAGCATCATAAGGCATGCATAGACGCGTTGAGTTCAGAACAGTGCGCGGATCGATGGATCGAAAAACAAAGGATTTACTGAGAAATCCTCGTGTCATTCACTCACTTCCTCATGTATGGGCTTTTCCGGAACATGGGAATAGAGGCGGTCAAGCACTTTTCGTTGGTCTTGCACTTGACTTAGTGGATTCCATCAACTGTTTGTAAGTAGTGACAACTTAGTTTGTTGAATTGCATGCTCTGTTGTGTTCTAAACAAAACGTGAAGAACCTGAAGCATTAGTGGACAGTAACTCCAAACTAATTTCGCCCATGGTCTTTGCAAGGCATCCATCATTGTTAAACAACAATTCTCGAAACTGATTGTGTGAAACCGCATTTACGTTTTCTTCAGATAGAGTTTGGCCTACAAGTTTTGGTGGGGACAAATTGACCCATATTCAACTTAACATTTCAACAAGCAATCCATTTGAAGGCATGAACGAGATGGTTTTTGATAAATTCTGAGATGATTCTTTGCTTATCAACTATGTAGATATGCAAAGAATCACTGATTACATTGATTCCACCGTATGCGAAGAATCCTCGGTTACATTGCCTTCACTTTATGCATAAAATCTTAGAGTTCAAAGTACCTAGCGTGCTCCGGCATCGTAAACCATGCGCGCTGGCTAATTTGGCGCCGGGTCATGGGGCGCACTTTGCGCAGCCATGTGTAGATTTAAGTACGTGTTCTGTTCAAGTGTGTATGTGCGCTACGGCGTCATTAATTACCTAATCTGCTACGTATCTTCCAAGATTCATGGTAAACGTATAGACTATCGGTATCGGTCGTATTATCAAATCAATCTCACATTCAGGTTACGCGTGTAGAAGAACAGTATTGGGACCATTTGCTGTCACTCTACTTTCTGATACCCTCTTAACGTGTACATTGGCTCTCTAACAATTCAATAAAGTAAGTGATGCCAGATTTCCCTTTCTGCTTCTCACTAAACCCTAGTTTTAGTATCCAGCACGAGTTTTGTTTGTAATAGATTTTGTTATTGGGCAGGGATGACTCTAGCCGTCGTATCAATTCTTGGTCATTTTAGCAAGACCATGATACTGTTCCTTAATCCACAGGTACAGTCGAGTAGATTTAGCGATAAATATAGTGTGCTTGCACAAAAGGTGAAATGCGGTGAAATTGGCGCGTGAAGAAATAGTTTCGACTGTGACGTCGGCCAACTGCGCGCGCAAGATACCCGCGGTACTGACGTGGCTACTTGTTCACGCGCAAATTTCACCGCATTTCACCTTCTGTGCAAGCACACTATATTTACCGCTAAATCTACTCGACTGTACTTTACGGCCATCGCTCGTTATTGTTCTTATAGACTGTGGTTCTACTGCGGATTCTGCGAGTTTTGTGTACTTCAGGTATTTAATTTTCTATACTCTTTACCACAACTCTTCAAGCTTGTGCCATGTCCCCGACATCGCTTACCGAAGTTTAATCCGGAAACGAATAAGGCATGTTCAATCTCCACATTCTGTCCTTGTAAAATAGAGTTGTTTTCAAATATACTCACACGTGTGGGATCTAATACTAAATCATGCAAAAAGTTTGTGTTCCATCTTTTTCGCAAAAAAAACTACTCTAAGTTTGCATTTGAAGTGATGGCAAACCTGCAATCAAAATTGTCGATATGTGCTTTTGCTATCTCGTGTTCACCGGTTTGGGTCTTCTTTCCTGCATAAAGTTCTTCTTATTAGCAATACTACTACTACGTCTTATGTTATGTCTTGTGTCTCTTGTTACGGCCATAGGTTGCCGGCAACTGTTGTCGGTGTTGTCCGTTTTGTAGCCGCTAAGTTTTGTTTTGCAATTTGCAGGAGATTGTTTGCAGTTAATTTGAAATAAACCAGACCAGACCCACCGCTGGGGAAACCCCGCGGCCCTGCCATTTCTCCGGCGGAGGGGTCCTATCCGCTGTCTGAGAAAATCGATATCCAGCCACAGCTGTACAGTCGAGTAGATTTTTCGCTTAATATAGTGTCCTTGCACGGAAAGTGAAATGCTGTAAAATTTAAGCGTAAACAAGTAATTTTGACTGTGACGTTAACCAATTGCGCGCACAAAATGTCGGCACTACGGACCTGGCTACTTGTTCACGCGCAAATTTCACCGCATTTCACCTTCTGCGCAAGCACACTATATTGAGCAAAAAATCTACTCGATGACGTATAGCAACGCCAAACAAAGCAAGAATCACCTTGTAAAATGAGGAATCCGACAAGCAAAGTTGTGAGATAAAGTATGAAAAGTAATGAGCGATATGCTTGTTGTGAGCAGTAGCCTCAGCACTAGAAGTAACAGGAAGTACTTCAACAGTGCCAACACTTGTACTAATTACCTGTTGCAGAACTCAAATCTTTGGCACATTTTCTCTACAAGTGAATCCAAAGGCTTGTCGACAATCAAAGGTAGAAGCTTTCGGCAAGTGAAGCGTGAAACAGAGGTCAGAAGTAACCAAATACACCAACTTGACGATAAACCTAAAATCACTCAGCGACACTTCCTTCTCAAAACGACAGACACGACAGATTATGTCGGCATGACATTCATCAGCAAATTGACCTGTAAATAGTGTAATTTTTCGCTGCATTAACCCCAATCATCGCAGCAGAAGAATACCTTGATTGAGATCTCATAAAACAGTTTCCTAGCGAGAGCTATTACTTCAGGATTGCCAGTACGGACTTGGGAGGAACTGGAGTTGTTGCTTGGCGCACTCTTTCGAAGCATACAGAGGGCAACATTCGATAGTGTACCTCTGGGCTAAAAATGCCACCAGTCAAAACATCAAAACGCGAACAAAAAAATAGAAAAAAATGCGTCTCATTTGAACCAGCAGATGGAAAATTGCAGCAAATGATTACCTTGAGGTCGATGGTGAGCATCTTCGTTAAATACAGCAGCGCGGTAATTTTTACACTAGCATCTACGTCAACGGTCCTAAAAAGTTGTGACTAGACAACGGCAAATCAAGAGGCACCAGTAAAAAAGTTTTACATTTCAAATAAGAATAATGCTTGGCGATCCAGCATGGAAGGAAGTCGCTGCATAATGTCAACGGCAGATACCAGAAGATACTCCCTCATGTCCGCGTCAGGATGGCAACATGTGAATGTGAGGGAAAGAGAACTAGCTCTCTCAGAGAACTGCGGATTAGAACAGAGATCTCACTGTCTTTTCACAGAAACAAAATGCCGGAACTAACAAAATCAATAAAAATTTGCTGAAAGCCTGCAGTGCCGCATCAGTGATTGGTTACTTCATCAAATCCCTATGTGCAAATCACTTTGTGCGAACTGGACATCTACACTTCCAAAAAGTTGGAAAAAAGAAACGCTGTCATGGGTATTTTAATGAACATGCTATTCCATAAAAAGAGCAGTGCAAATTCAGTAGAAAGTATAAAGTATAAAGTTCAGTATAAAGTATGGTGGTATAAAGTTCGAGTTTGACAGTATAAAGCTCTAACCTTTTTCTAGACTTTTTGGTGAACGAAACACTGAATCTTCTTTTTGAAGCTTTCTGCTGACTTTGATGTACTTATATCTGGAAAATAGCACGATAGAACAACTGAATATCAAAATCAATAATTTCAACCCTATGGATTGACCATGATTGAACGATAGAAGTTGCGAACAGTGCGAACATGGGAAAAGAAGGAAACGGAAAACAGCAGATTTATTGTTAGTACATTATTATTAGTATTTACAGACTACCATACTCTCTCAAAGAGTTCAATGCTGTGTGGATGATCTGATGAATGTCCAAGACATAGAGAGTACTAGATAAAGATGCTGTGCCTCTTTATGGCTTACAAAATGTAAAATGCCAATGAATTGTGACTGTCGTTTGTTTCTCTGGAAATAGGTTATGCATAGATTATTTTTGGATAGATATTTACTTGTATGCAATAGAGGACGGCTGATAACATATTGCTAATAAAATAAGTGTCGCTAAATCATCAAACGCAATTCGATGAAAAGGCACAGAACAAATTATTCGTGTCGTGCGTCGTCTTGATAAGAATCCTTAGACACAAAAGAACAAAATGTCGCCAAATCATCACACACAGTGCGATAAAAAGCACTAAAGATGTTATTTTCGTCGTCTATAAAAGAAAGCGACTGCTTTTGGTCCAATGAATGCACTCGGCATAAAGTTTGGCGTCACCTGTGACCAATCGATTGCTATTTACGCTGAGGATTATTGATTGCAGTGTCACAGACCTGTCACATCCTGTCGCAGGCGTTGAGAGATACTGCCATGCGATGACGATTATCACGACTATTACAAGCATACCTTCGATAGTCTAGAGACAGGGCGTCAAAAGTGAAGGTTGTTTAAACATCTGACGTCATAAATAGTGAAGGTTGTTTAAAGATGATCAGAGAAGAGAAACTGACATAAAACAGATATGAAGAGCAAAAGAAACTGCTGAAAACCGGATAAGAACGCTGCAATGAGGCTTGAAATCTTTCATTTGGCGGCTTTTCAAAGTGCAAGTTTTCGCTCCAGGACCAGCGATTCGCAATACGGGGTTTTGATTTTTGATGCGTCCTTTAAATTTTTATCCCCGCATTGACGTTCCTGTTTCCTGGGACGTTGTCTGGATTGTTGCGCTTATTGTTCTGAGCAACAATCGCCCAAGCTGGAAAAAAATCGATGCGAAAGCACTGAAACAGAACAAGGTAAAGAAAAACGCACTTTTTACGATTTTTCGCAAAAAATTCCACAATAATCGAAGAGATAAAGGCTGGGTGGTTGTCTGCATTATGAATAGAAGCAAGATCTATAGAATGCACGAAAAAACCGCGCAAGTATAGTTAAACTAGGAGAAAAACAAGAGATTTTCGAAAATTTTTGCCGGATTTCTCGATCAAATCAAAAAATGTGGTTCTGGGACGTTGTCAGCGTGAAAATAGAGATCAATAGCTTCAAAATGATATATAGCTTGCTAAAATTGGGTTCGAAACAGTGAAGAAAAGGGTACCAGAGCCAAATGCCCCGCGCCCCGCGTTTGGGGTAGCGAGGTAGCGCGCAGCGCGCGGAGAAGCAGACGAGCAGCGGAGACAGACCAGAGCCGACGGGGCATTTCTCAGACAATCGACCGGACCCCTCCGCCGGACAGTCCGAATCTGCCAGAGTCGCGCCGGACCCAGTTGACCAATGAGAGCGGGGCAAATGGGCGGTCCGTCGCGGTGACATCACTGGCAGGCAAATGGGACGCTTCTCCGGCCCTGCTGCAAAGGTACGCCATTTCTCCGGCGCGGCTCTGCCAGATTTGGCAGAGCCGCGCCGGAGAAATTTGCCCGGCGCGAGTCCGCCAGATTTGGAAGAGCCGCGCCGCAGAAAATGGGAGGTCCGGAGCACAAATGGGAGGTATCCGGAGCAGAAAATGGGAGGTATCCGGAGCAGAAAGTGGGAGGTCTCCGGAGCAGAAAATGGGAGGCCTCCGGAGCAGAAAATGGGAGGTATCCGGAGCAGAAAATGGGAGGTATCCGGAGCAGGCTGCGTATCGATTTGGCGCGTAGTAAGCAAACGTCTAACTCCACGGTGATGAGTCCTCTGTTTACGCTCTTTCTCCATATTTTAGTCGTTGTTTCTTTGATTTTGTTGTTTTTCCGCGTTTCTTTACTGTTTTTTTCTTTTCCGCGTTGCTCTTCGTCGCGTTGGCGTTTATGTTGTTGTAAGTTCCTCGTTTTCAGGTTTGTTTCAAATTTTCGTGCGGATGCACTCAATCACTTTCAGTGTTTGGCTCTTTTCGACTTGAGACATCGTTGACTACTGATGGAGTAGTTTTTGTGATTAATTCTGGATTTTCGAAACAACAACAATTTTCGAAAGTATATAATTCGAGTAAAGTCCAAATGAAATTTTCTTCCCATTTCAGTCAGAAAGCTTGCTTTTTTAGGTGCAGTGGATTTAGCGGTATTTGGAAGGTGTATCTAAACTTTTTCGTACCCCTCAATATCGATACCTTATCACTCAGACAATCGCTGGGGGCAGGCGGGCACCGGAAAAATAGATTGCTGATTTCTCGCACCCCGCTCGCGGATTTTTTGCAAAGCAATCAGGACTTTTTGGAAGACCGCTTGCTGAGTCAGCGGATTTTTGAGAGACCGCCTGTTGAACTTTTTTCGCTCTTATCTTTTGCAGATATATTGCTGAATTTTTGAGGAATCGAGAACTCAGCAAGCGGTCTTCCGAAAAGTCCTGATTGCTTTCCAAAAAATCCGCGGGCGGGGTGCGAGAGATCAGCAATCTATTTTTCCGGTGCCCGCCTGCCCCCGGCGATTGTCTGAGCAGGTGGCTGTATTCCGTGAATTATTGGATTCCGCAATGATAGATAGTTTGGGCAGTCTGAGTCCACTCATACTCGATTTCATCGACTCGATGAGAGAAAACCTCGAAAGCGATCTGGTATGCAGTTTTTACGTTGGAATGTAGTCCTTGATAACAAGCAAGATTATATCAGGATCGTGACATAGCAGTGGTGACGATGATGCGGCTACACTATCCCGAACTAATTGCTGTGATCATTGATAATGTTAGTCCAGAAAATCGTGGCAGTCTCATTCCGGATGAAAAGAAGCAAAGCCTATTTTATCTAATCATCGGCTGGTGCACCAGAACGATAGCAGCAGATAGAAAGAATAGGGAAAATGATGTATGTTTTCATGTTGCTGTTCTATGCATCGCTGTTTATTTAATCTTTTTCATTAAGGTTGGTTCATACGTGGAGCAAAAGGCGGCCTTAGCTATGACACGTCTACTCAACTGTGGTAGAATATTTGAAGCTCAGAAATCTATTGGTGAAGGTGATTATTTATATGGCTGGTTGGAAAAACTTGTGTCAAGTGCGAATACAAAGGTATGTTTATGCTGGAAATCACTTTTATGGTCCTTTTTCTCTTGTTTATCTTTCATAACATGCTCTTTCTTGTCTGCAATTGGTTATATCTCTTCGATGGTGAAAGTGTTTTTCAACTGAATCGTCTTATTCAAGAGTATCTGAAGTAGTACGGAATATCACGCAATCGAGCCACCTGCTAGACTGGTTAATGTCTTAGTGCTATAGTCAGCCAAGTGCTGTTGCTGCGAAATGCTTTCGAGCTCTCGTGCTCGTGTTCTCGCTGTATTATAGATCCCAACTGGTCATCGACTTGGAACAGTAGTCAAAACCAGGCGTAGAGGGATTGCGCAGCTGCTGTGACTGCACAAACTTCGCTAAAAATGTCTCGCTGAGATTGTTCTTCAGAAAGGATGGAAATCAAGTGGTACGCACTTGTATATGCTGAAACTGAGAATTCAAAAAAGTACTCAAAGTTGAAGTTCAGTAATCGTAATGAACCAATCACGATCAAAATTGGGATTTCTATGTGTTCGAGGTTGTTCTTCTGCATAGCTATGATTGTTCGCAAAACAAAGCACAAAAAGCACTTTTTTCAAACAACTTTTCAAAATCTAAGTTCAAGTTCAGTAATATGTTCAAAGTGAATGGTTAGATAACGAGGTCATGCCAGTACACATAGACATTTTATACGACATCACTAATCATGTATGGATATGTGACTGACAAGGTCGCGCCAACAGGTATATAGCTTGTAGCCAAGATGTAGGTTAGAACCTTAGTGTGCCTGCGGCATTCTGCTCGAAGGAAACCTTTATGAGGTCATGACCTTGCAACGCGGAAGAGGGAAAACATGTAATCGAGTACATGCACCGTGTTCAAATACAGGCAAGTCTCTAGTTTTATCCCACTGATGTAAGTTTGAGAACAGGCGTCTCCAGTTCAAACCGCTAAATTCTGATGTTTAAAGATTGTTCGTAATTGTGTCCTGGCCTTTTACGCAAAACAGACTTTGTTAATGAAATGGAGGACCTCGAAATCATAGAAATCCCAATTTTGATCGTGATTGGTTCATTATGATTACTGAACTTCAACTTTGAGTACTTTTTTGAATTCTCAGTTTCAGCATATGCAAGTGCGCACCACTTGATTTCCATCCTTTTTGAAGGACAACCTCAGCCAGACATTTTTAGCGAAGTTTGTGCAGTCACAGCAGCTGCGCAATCCCTCTACGCCTGGTTTTGACTACTGTTCCAAGTCGATGACCAGTTGGGATCTATAATACAGTCGTGTTCTCTCTCGCCGAGATTTTCCCGAATTTATATCGCGGTTGTCACAGATGCTGCAGTCCATATAATTGAGATTCTCAAGAGACAATTTCTTTACAAGTGAGTCTTCCTTTTTAAAAGGCGTCTACCGAAGGAAACATGGCGTCTTCTCTAGCTGTGCAGTTGAAATCGCCAGTAGTTACAAATTCGCACAGCCATTGTCTCCCTATGGATCAGCAGGCTGTTTGTCAGAACCTTGCCAACTCGTACCCTCATCTCGCTATCACAATATTCAGCGGTAGGGGATTTTTTGTGTGCTCATGTGTTTGGTATTCTTTGCTCTTCATCCGATTTTCAGAGGTTTCTTTCCGTCTTGAAAATGCTCGTAGTCAGAACCAGACGTACCTTATCGCTTTACTGCTTTACTGCTTTGTTGTCCGTTTTGTAGCTGCTAAGTTTTGTTTTGCAATTTGCAGGAGATTGTTTGAAGTTAATTTGAAATAAATGTCTTGTTTCTTCATTCTTCTATCTTCTATCCACAAACGCTGGGGTGAGAGGGAGGGGGTAAAGAACGGGGTTGAGGGTCGCGCTGAACTCTTACTCGGGGGGGGGGGGGGGTCCTATTCGGCTAATTTGGGTGGGGTTTAGAGACAAATTGGGGTTTGGAGCTTAATTAGGGCTAATTACAGTATGCCGCGGCAGACTTGCGGAGCAGAAAATGGCAGGGCTCCGGAGCAGAAAATGGGAGGTCTCCGGAGCAGAAAATGGGAGGTATCCGAAGCAGAAATTGGGAGTATCCGGAGCAGAAAATGGAAGGTATCCGGAGCAGAAAATGGGAGGTATCCGGAGCAGAAATGGGAGGGCTCCGGCGGACGAGTGGCAGACCCACCGCTGGGGAAACGCCGCGACCCTGCCATTTCTCCGGCGGAGGGGTCCTGTCCGCTGTCTGAGTTGGCTCTGGTCGTAGATCTCCGCGGGGTCTCAACGAAACCCCTCAACATTATATATCATTCTCATCGCCATGACACGACGAGGAGAACTGACAACGTCCCAAGCTTTGAAAATCACTCTTAACGAGGTACACCAGCGTTTTCGTGTGCGACTCTCTGCGCAAGATTTAGGCGCAGTTTCTCGTTCTTATTTAACTCCAATAGCTTTCCTAAACTTCTAAAACTCGATTTTATTCAAATGAGAGGTTAACTAAGAAATTTTGTTCTGAATTCTGGCAAAAATCCCACAGAAACCTTTTTTTAAGGTAAAAAAAGCTATGAAAACGCAAATTCTCGGTTTCGCTAAGATAAGCTAAGATATTATTCCTTATATTTGCTTCATTAGCATTCGTTCTGATATAATCAGGATAATAACATCCGGGGCTTCGCCCCGGATGACTTCTGTTTTTTCCAGGTGAAGGTTGTGTCCTCTTATAGCCCTCAAAGTGAAGGTTACCAGAGTACGTGGCACTATGTATCGAGGGTGTAATTTACAAGCGATTCAAAGCAGGAGGAACAAGTTTTTTCAAAGAGTTTGTTCATAACAAACGCTAAACCTGAAACTTTTCATATTGAAGCAAATTTCGAATTCATCATATTGAACGAAAAATACGAACATAGTAAACAGATACGAAATCTTTGCATCACGAAGAAGCAACGCACTCTGGCAATTTTAAACTGGTTTCCAAAGTTCTGATCAAGAAAACAGCCTAAAAACAAAGGAAACGACTATAAAATCTTTCAAAAAAGAAGCCAAATCTCAGCGATTTAGTCGCGTCGCTCGTTTTAGCTCAGCGACGCGACTTAGCTGAGATTTGGACAAATCGCGGCGCTTTCAATGAGGGAAGTATGCCCGGGGAAAAACGGTCAGCGACTAGTCGCGCTGGAAAACTATCACAACCGAATGGTAGAATGATCAGCATGCAATGGACTTGTAACAGTCATCTTTCCTGGAAAAAAGCGAGGCGATGAACTAGCGTGATGTATGCCCGGCCTTCAAATCATAATGAAATCGCTGCGAAACAGGAGGATACTATGGATAAGATGGCTAAGACAAATCTGCAGACTTGTGAAGATATATGAATATTTGTTAGAACAGATGATAAAGTTTGTATATACATTACGCACACGTCACCGTCACTTTTACGCTTTAGTGAGGGTGGTGAATCAATCCCTTCGTTGAGTTAAAAGATTTCCTTGCTAATTGATCAATGTGTAACCCGCATGAGTTTTTATTAGTCACTCATACAAAAGTGTAAATGAGTATAAACTACGCTAATAGGATTATAATAAAACCAGCTAATGATAAATGTCATGAAAATTAGCATTTACAAGTAAAAAACGAGCTTTCTACACGCCGTCAGCAAGAAACGCTAGCTTTCCTCGCAGTTTTTCAAATGGAGGCTAAGCACGAGATTTTAGCATAGGACTATAGATGACCTGTTGACCTATTGTCAATCGATTTTGTTGGAACAAATGAGCCTAAATTCAGAACGCTGATGGGTCTATTCCCCGGAATACCACTCTAAATTGCAATCATTGTGAGCTGCTTATCTTCTAACTAAAGTTTAACGCCATATATCGAAAAGTTAGCATAGGTCGATAACATCTTTTTCTAATACAAAAAGGTAACGACACTCCAATCCTTACCTTGGATGTTCGTCGAAACCAATGCGATGTAAACGTCTCGTCTTATTGTAAGTGTTTTCGAGGTTGCTCTTTTCAGCAGTGGGATTCGTTTGTTGCAAAGTCAACATTCAGCAGCGATAATGCTTAAGCAAGATCAAAAACCGTAGTGAGAGGTTTTCGATTTTCGGATTTCGAAAATACTTTGTACTTAAATGTTTTCGATTTTCTTTTCTTTGTCTTCAAAAAATTGTTCAAGATATAAAATCGCTATTGATATTGCACAAAACATCTATCTTTATGGCAAAAGCAATTTTGAGAATCCGTAGTTCTGAGCTTTGGTATTCATTTAAAGAAGGAAATTTCAGAACCTTTATATCCGAATTTCGATCTTGTTTAAGCATTGTCGGAGCTGAACGTTGACTCTGCAACAAATAAATCTCACTACTGAAAAGAGCAACCTCGAAAACCTCTAAATCCAATATTTCGTCTTGATTGGAGCAAATTCACTTTTGAACTTTTTTGAAAGTTTCTTTGAAATTCCGCTTTCAGCATCTGGAGCGACATTGGATACGAGGGCGAGGCTTGCGATGTCTTGGACCTGAGGAGCTCGTAATTACGGCGAGCCCGGATGTGCCTGGCAGACACATCATTTAGGTGCCAGGATATGGCTCGGGTGAGAAACTTCCTCTCCCCCCCCCCCCTTGTTTTCTACCCCAGAATACATAACCAGCTTCCTCATGTAAAACACTCAAGTCGCGGCTAAGTCTCAACCAGAGCTTTCAATGGTTTCCACTCAATATCTTAGAGTTAAGATCTCGAAAAGTAAACTTGACCTTGATGTTGAAAGGTACATAGTCCATCAACAAGAATCTTACAAAGCCTCTAGTAGAGTAGAACTATCTTTCAAAATGAATTACAGATGTTTTTCAGTACACTCGTGTGTAAATGCTGAAATGTTTATGCAGACGTTGAACAGGGGATGACTGTTTCAAAATTCGTCCTGGTTTGTTCTGTGATCATGGACATTTGGTACATATGCATTGCGTTCCTTTGCAGTAGCCTCCCTTGCACTTCTGAAGAAAAGCGATTTATTGCGTTAGAATACAAGACCAAGACTTACTTTCATTCTTTTGCAATCTCTTTTGCATCTCCTCTCAGCCATTACTTCGTTAGTGCCACTGGGAGGCCAGCCAAGGGTAAAGCAAGATGGTTCCATAAATTTGGCATTGTCAAACCACCGTTTCGCCTCCACCATAACTTGCGATAAGAGAATCAGCATCAGCAATTTAACAAGCGGAAGCATGATCTTTTCTGGGATGAGATTAGATTCCACAGCTCTGATTTACAACGCCAAGCAAACGCAAGCTTCATGCAGGTGTTCGAACTATTGAGAATAAATTGGATATCTGAGGGAAGCAAAAGATATAGCATCTGGAGAAAATCTTTGAAAGGCTCAGACGTATAAAAGCGTCTTAAAATAGTATACTGAATATACAGAATGTATGAAGGTTTTTTGTGTGAGTTACATACTTACTATTTATTAGGTCGTTTCGAAAGTAATGTCGCTTCTTCAAAGGTACGCCACATCTCGAGGAACCAAGATTTCTAAGAGATTGTGGTAGCACTCGATGCAGCATTTCATTCTCTTTCTAATGCTTGTAATTTCATTGCATAATATTCTTTGAGCGTTTGAAAAATTACGAAAATCTGCGACCCGTGCCTTTTGAAAAGGTCAAGTTTCACAATTTTTCAAAATTTTTGTAACAACTCTTGGAAGGAGCTTAAGTGATACATGGATAGAGAAAACCCTACAGGAAACAGTGTCATTTTTTTCTAATTTCCATAGCTCGTCATAATTTTTGTATAGATTTTTCATTTGAACCACGAATTTTAGCAGGCTCGCCGCTGACACGAATGTATCAAAGATCAAAAAATCTTCGGATTTCAAAGCTTACAAAAGTGTATTATGGTTTGACACTATTTTTAGAAATCAAGTGAGTATTTTCCGCTTCAGATTAGCCACTTTCGAAAATTGCGGGTACAGCGTGGGGCGCCTTGGAAAACCTGAATTATGATGATTTATTCCGGGAAACTTTATGAAACAGAAACAAAGAAGAACTAGTAGAAAGAGGAGAAAAAGCTGCGTTGAATGACACCCGAGTTGCTCGCCGGTTATTGTCCTGTGGGGTTTTAGTTGACCAAATATGGAACTTGATATCGTTAAAGAATTGGTTTTAGAAATTCTAAGAGGTGAGATAAGGAAAAGAAAAAAATTGTTTCGTATCCTATAGGGTTTGCTTTATCTGCCCTCTACTTGCCCTTCTTTGGGAAATCAGTACAAAAATTTAGAAAAATGGCCGAATTTGACCATGGCAAAAAGCATGAGTCGTAGATTTTGGTAATTTTTCGAAAGCTCATTGAACTTGTGCAACTAGATTACAACCGCTAGAAAGACGATGAAGTGCTGCATCAAATGCTACCAAGACCTTTTGGAAATCTTGGTTCCACGAGATGTGACGCCCATTTGAAAAAAGCGACATTACTTTCGGAACGACATAATATTTTCCCGAATTTTTGAAACGTTGGCTGGAGCTGCTAATTATAGGTGTATAGGGCGGCCACTACTCAGCTTTTCTGCAGTTTGATGAACTACCCGCAAAAATGATGAATAAATATTCGCGAGACCGCGGAGAGGGAGCTATAACAATAAACTCAAATAGTGCACACGTATTTCCAATACACCCTCTACATATGTGTAGAACCCATTTTGATAAGAGGCTTCGCCAATCTCAATTGCCTGGTATGGAGCTGATAAAGAAAAAAATGTTAGCTTTGTAAAAGCGAGCACAGCAGTTGTATAGAAAAAAAAGCATTATTATGTTGAAACGAAGAAGAAGATCACTTCATTTGATTATATGAAAAGTTTGCCATAAGGAAATTATAATTTTTCTCCGTCTACCTTTTTTGACTGAGCTAACAAGGGAAGGATAGTTGGATGCCGCGGCCATTCCTAATGATTTGTATACCAAAAAATGCGCCTTCGAATGCAGATTCCGGATCTGTGCTCGAAATCTGCGAAACGATCTTTTGAAGAAAGTTATGAACTTTTTTCCTTGAAAATTTAGCCTACTTTTGGATAGTAAAAATCACCAGATTTGATCTAGCCTACCGTTTGATGCTACTGAAGAAAATTTTAGACGTAGTAATATTTACTTAGACTATCTGGATCATATTCAGCATTTGGAAAGGAGAGAAAATTTTTTTATTGATGATTTTGACCCTCCGCAACGCAATTTTTTTAATGAAAAAATCATAACTCCATTCAGATTATCGTTTCGCAGATATGAAAGACAGTCTACGAACCAGCATTCAAAAGCGCATTTTTTGATATACAAATCATTATGAATGGCTACGGCATCCAAGTATCCTTCCCCTGTAAGTTTGTGTTATGTCAAGTCTCTCTATAGCCACATGTTTTCCGAAATTACAATAGATAACAGCAAAGTCAAAAAAGAACTCAAGAGAACCAGATTTACTGCTTTCTTTTGCTTGCTCAAAAAACTTAACTACAGTATCATCGCCGCCGCCGTTAAAAACAGCGGATTTAGCGCGATATTGCGCCGGAAACGCCGCAAACGCGTGACTTCTTAGAAATCAATCAAGCAGAGGGAGACATATATTTGAAATCAGCGTTCTTCTCTCTATCTAATACCATATTTTGGTTTTCGAAAACACAATTTTTTTCATTTTTCCGATGACGTCACGGTAAACGTCCACGGTCCTGGGGTTTTTGGCTTAGAAACCGCTGTATAGCTCGCAATCAGTGAGATTTTCTGGTGCAAATCATTGCTTACTATGGAAGGACATTTCTCTTTGATTTCCATGAAGTTCTAAAGGTCTAGAAGTTTATTATTTTTATTAGGTGGGTCCGAAAATTCTGCCGTTTCATTTTCAAAAATTTGTAAGTTTGCGCTGGATCAACGGGTTTGCTTGTTTGTAAATCTATTGGGAAGGATAAGTGTCTTGCTTTCAAACGCTGTTTCGTCGAGCTTCTGTTGAAAATGGAAAAGTAAGATCACATAAGCTTGAACCATTTTAAGTTAGGCCACCAAAAATCTGGAACGCTGCAGAAAAATCTGAAATCATCAATACATATGATTTTCGGCCTGCTCTTTGCAATTGTGAAGACCGTATGCTGTTAAGACGTCTCTGTGAGAAGTTATGATTTTTGAGAAAATTGGCAAATCAATTAATTTTGGCGTTTTCCATAGTAAACTCGAAATTTATAACTTTTCACAGGGGCGTCCAAACAGCACGAACTTTTAACAGTTGCAAAGAGTAGGCTAAAAAACATATGTACTGACGATTTCAGATTTTTCTGCAGCGTTCCAGATTTTTGGTGACCTAACTTAAAATGGTCCAAGCTTATATAATCTCACTTTTCCATTCTTATCTCCGCATTCAGTATGAAACAGAAGCTCGATAGAGTAGTGTTTAATAGCGAAAGACACTCTTCATTCTTTACTCTCTATTCTTTCTAACAAAATTACAAACAAGCAAACCCGTTGATACAGCGCAAAGTTACAAATTTTTGAAAATGAAACGACAGGACTTTCGGACCCACCCAATAATACAAAAATTTTCTAGCTGAGCGAAAAGTTCAGATTTTGGAGATAAGTTACTCGAAAAAATCCGTGTTTATGGGCAAATCATTTAATGCTGAAATAAAGCAATTTTCTAAAAAGCCTACTTGGAATTACCCAATTGTACTGTTTTTCCTGCAATATATTTGAGCCCAAATCAGGTTGCTCATGCTTCGAATTTCATGTGAGACTACCTTCATAAGACCATATCTAAAGAATGGCATGGTAACGTGCCCGCATTTTTGTACAGTGATAGCGCAGGCTTTGCATTGAGTATTTGCATGCGCATGTGTGCTTTCTTGGAACCAACCGCAGCGAGATGAACTGAAAACTGCAGAATCACACATTAAGGATTTTTGACCGTTTCCTGGAATCTCACCAAACACCACAATTTTTATATATTCGGAATCTACACGCAATAGGCTCACCAAAAACATATATACTGGTCCCTCTATCGTCACAGAAAAATGAGCTGATTGATTATATGCGCCTATTTGGTCCACTAAAGGCCGCATGCACTAACATCCCCGCCGGGGAGGGGATCGCTGCTTAAAAGAAAGCTTCATATCCTGAAGCTCTAGATATCTGGATTTCACGCTGTCTACCTATCAGTGAGTATTCCCACCATCCTTCACTATGAACATATTGAACCGAAGCGAGAAGCTGTACAAGCCGCATTTTCCAGCTTTTTGTATGATCCCCTGATGATCCCCTGGGCACGAACGACTATTCTTTAAAGTCATTTTTCTTTATTCAAAGTTAATGAACATTCCAAGTTGTATTGCTTATCTAACCCAACAGTGCTAAGCATATTGATGATGAGAACAAATGAGTTTTCTGAAATATCGTGATTTTCGATAAACCCCAACTTTCGACCTGTGGTTCGTCGAAAATTTCATGAATCTAAAACATCATTTGTTATTATCAGCAACATGCTTAGCAGTGTTGGGTTGAATAAGCGATACAATTTTGAAATGTTTTCATTAACTCTGAAGAAAGAAAAATGACTTCAAAGAATAGACGGTCGCCCTAGGGGATCATCAGGGGATCAGACAAAAAGCCGGAAAATGCGGCTTGTACAGCTTCTGGCTTTTGTTTAATATGTTCATAGTGAAGGATGGTGGGAATACTTACTGATAGGTAGACAGCGTAATATCCAGATGTCTGGAGTTTCAGGATATGAAGCTTTCTTTTAAGCTGCGATCCCCTCCCCGGCAGGGATGTTAGTGCATGGCCCTATGTCCGCTTGGGTGCACCTGCACCCAGCTGCGGTGCATGTCGCACCTTGCAGATGCAAAGGTGCGAAGAATATGTTGCGGACAATAAGACCATCGATCGACTCTACAGAGCAACTTTTCACAACTAGGGCTTATGGAAAGCTAAAAATTTACGGTTATACTTTTAAGGGATTGTAGGTACAATTACATAAATGGAAACAGCCTAGATTCCTTTGTTAAATCTTGGAAATTCCGTTTCCTCGATTTCCAAGTAAGGATAAATACAGGAACGATACAAATGAGTATCTAATGTGGTGGGCAATTTTTGTGAGCAAGTTGAGATCCGTAGGATTTGTTTGAACAACGGTATGAATTTTTCGCGATTTGAATTTTCAGTGCGACTCAGAATTTGGGTGCAAACCTACAGTGGATCGAAGCTGGTG